AGTGCAATTATGGATTGCTGGAGTTTTTCGTCCCCTTACTCGAGGAAAAAGGAATTCATAGCAAATATATATTGATGTCATTTCTAGGGCTTTCTGTTCTCTACTCCTCTGACCCCCTCCCCACATACACTTACTCACTATTGATATAATTCTACTTTCGTACTGCTACCTTGAAAGTTGCTGGTATTTGTAAGACCCTAGGATAGGTGGAGGATACAAGAAGGTGAATGAGCTATTATAACTGTCTCTGAGAAGTTCACAGTCTATATGAAAGAGAGGTACATAAATCAATAATCTCAGCTAACAAGTATGGAGTACTGCAATGAGGTATAGAGTACTTATAACAAGGCAGGTGCTATTATATTTACTATATGTATTAACTCATTTAATCTTCAAAACCACCCTATGTATAGGAGCTGTCTTATACTCAGTTTAGAGATGAAGAAACTGAGGCACTGTAGGGCTAAATAAATCACTCAAGTTCACTCAACTGACAAGAGTCACACCAGGAACAACATGGCTCCTGAGCCTGGCTTTTAAAGATAATGACACTCATTTTACCTTCTCACAGACAAATAAAAAAAGGCCGTACACAACTGTAAGGGTGAGAACAGAGATGTGAAGATGGCAAGATGATCACAGGAAAAGTGCGGATTTGGAATGGAGTTAGGTGGGGTTCTGTCAACTTTCCTATGACTTCGGACACATTTCTCAATTTTTCTGGGTCTTAAGGTGGGAGCAAAAGTAGGTTTACTGTTGTAAATAGATGAAACAGAATTTATTCTTGTATTATTATTTATTAATTATTGTATTATTTTCCATATGAACAATTATAAGCCTACTTTTGCCACACCCTGTATAGGACAAGACCCTTGCTTGTATAACTATTGCACAGACTTGTTTGATATCATTTGATGCTTCTATTTCTCAGGAATAAAACAAAGCCTACCAAAAACTAAATACTTCACAAATAAGATATTTTACTTTTTAGAATAATTAAAATATGCTAAATAAAATAAGCATACAAGCTTTTTAAAGAATGAAGTGATAAAACAAAATGCTACTGTTTCTTCACAGCTTTAGTCAGAGGGTCACCCCAGCTGCAATGGTTTTGTAGCCACAACTAAAAATCAGTGAGGAAACCTCCATCTACTCTTGTTGCCAAGGTAGTGTTGCCAGGACTGCTGCTGGACAACTATATGACTACCCAGCAGTCATTGCTATTGTAACTGATACTCCTTTCATCTCCCTCCTTTTCTCAGGGAACCCCTGGGATAGAGTGAATGATTATGTAGTAAATAGTTGTATAACAATATTACTACTTATTTATCCTTGTATCAGAGGTATCAAAGTTGTTTTAATGAAACACCAGATAACCCTAATCTGGATTATTCAAAGGAATGCCTTGCAAGTGGAATGAATAAAGCTCTACTTTACTATTCCTTAGTGAAGAAAGTTAATGCAAACTCTCCCTCATGTTCCTTTTCTTGAGTTTACAGACTATAAGACTAAATACTGCAATTTTTCCCTAAAAGTTAATCAGGATAATCATTAAATCATTTTTTTGTCCATCTCATTTCAGATGTATTTAATCTTGTTTTTTTAAAAAAATATTTGAGTGCATTGATAAATACCAAATTGTTTTCAGTATTTAAATGTTGGTCTCATCAGAACTGCTTAGTGTAATCATTTTTCCCTTTCATTGTAAAGAGAAACTTTAACATAGCTAGTCCTCAAATACTGTGTTAGTTCTTGACTCCATTATGCCCTTACATTAATTATTTCTAAATTCTTCTGTACATAGGTGTTAAAGTCTTTCTACACATTATTTATGCATTATCTTCCTTTTATAGAATGGCCATTTAAAAAACTATTTATACCCATTGTATTCACCTGATTTTTTTAAGTAAAAGGTCATTTTTGCTCATCTATACTCTTTCAAAATTATTTATTCACCTTTCATCATGCATGTTAGCAGAACCCTTCAATTCAGTATCATCTGCAATTTTTATTAACATACTATTTGCTCCCATTTCCAGGTGGTTAATGTAGATACTAAACATGACTGTACATAACAATTTCATTCATGACTTGTTTGGATATTTCCTGGGAATAAAGTAACATTAATTATCATTACTCTTTATTTGTAGTTCTATCAATTTTCTTTTCTGTTGGCATAAGAAGATTCACTGCAACTTACTTTTTACTTATAAGAGTCTACCTCAGATTACTAAAATGAAATGTGTTCTGCCTGCTGCATCTCTCACATTCGTTAATAATAATTCTGTAAAAATTGTGGACAACCTCATTGACCTGTAAAATTAATTTATAAATCCAAGCTATCTTGGAAACACAATGCAGTCATCTTGGAAGGGTTTAAAGGTCTACAAAGTTTTTATTTTTCATAATATTTCTGGTATTCTTAAAGTCTGTCTGAAAAACACCATTTATATTCAATCTGCTAATATTAATTCCTAGACTACTAAGACATAATTGTGTTTTTCGTGATGTGACCATAAATATACCCTCAATAGAATTCATTTGATTTTCCACTCTAAGTTTTACTTGTCTTCTAATTTGAATGATTGTGTGAAGTATTTCTTCTAGTTGAGGCAGAAAAAAAGAAGGAAGTGTGTGTTATGTAGTTACTTACAGTACAGTTGTATGTATAACAAAATGGATATTCAGACAGCAAATACTAATATAATCTTTGTTTTGTTGATATTGTTTTTAGGTTGGCTATAATTTTTACTGGTTGCACATAGCATGATAATTAATAAATAATTTGTTCTATGTCCCCTGTAGTCCAGAGATGAACATCATCTCATCTCAGGTCGTATAGAAAGGATAACTGAAATGGCAATGTCTCCTACATGACTGCCAAGACTTTCCTAACACAGGACTTGAATTACATGTTTATGAAGTCCCATAATAACAAAATATATTTTATTAACCACTAAATCATCTAGTTTCCTCAAACATTTTTACCATTACACATGAAGAAATTTATCATGGGCCCTGGCTGGCATAGCTCAGTGGATTGAGCGTGGGCTGCAAACCAAAGCATCGCAGGTTCAATTCCCAGTCAGGGCACATGCCTGGGTTGCAGGCCATGGCCCCCAGCAACCACATATTGATGTTCCTTTCTCTCTTTCTCTCTCTCTCTCTCTCTCTCTCTCTTTCTCACTCCCTCCTTTCCCTCTCTAAAAATAAATAAATAAAATCTTAAAAGAAGAAGTTTATCATAGTAGTAATTATTTTCCTATGTCCCATTATACCTCCCCAAGCTTATTAGACTAACTAATCAAGCAAATTTCATTCCCTTTTTTGGGATGAGGAGGACTAAGGCACTGTGGACAAATGAGAGAATAAGAGAGGCTTGCTGGGAGATTTGAGAAAGGAGTCCCTTCTCAGGAATTCAGTAACTTCTTTCTTTACTCCCTGACCTCTCTTGACCACTCCCCACATCCCCAAGCCTTGTGGATAGGCCTGACTACCACTGGCAGCAAACTTGTCACTATGGGGAAGCACATAAGAAATCTGAGTGACAGCTGCCAAATAGAAAGAATCTGGTCCTTATGATCCCTCTGAACTGGTGGAACAACTCAGGACCTAGCCTGAAGCGCAGCATAGCTGACTCTGGGCGTGGTCATTTACAAACACGCAAATGACCTCCCTAATTAAGTTTATCAAAGGAGTATATCTGGTACATAGAGCCAAGCCTCCCAATTAATTAGACATTAAGCATTTGGTTTGTAAGTTTCAACTAAGTATGTGTGAAAGTTTTGTATAGATTTGGTAACTAGATCTAAGTTTAAATTTAAGATTTTGATCTTAATATATATTCTAAACACAAAGGCCTATTAAGGGGCCTTTTTGGAACCAGCCCAATGGCAGAAAGCTAGCAAGTGCAGAGTCAGGATTCAAGTCCAGGCGACCTGGCTACAGAGCCCTCCTTTTAACCATTACACTGCAGTGCCTCCCAGCGAATTTTGACAGGTGTGCTTACAATACAATGGAACAAAAGCAGGTAATACCTGAAGAAATGCAAGAAAAAGAGTTTCACAGAGACTGGAGGGCTCATTAATGTGAAAGAGAATAAAAATCAAATACAAGAAGAACAAAAATTAAGCCTTTGTATGAATTGAATTCTACTGATGAAAAACCGGGTATTTTAGTACTCACTGGAGTAGTGATCTTGGGTAGCGACTTAAATAACAAATGGGAAAATGGGGAAAAGCAAAAATGTCATACATTTAATATCTGAGGTAACTAAAACTATTATTATTATTATTATTATTATTAATTTTACTTTACCTATATCACAGCACCAAAATGGAACATATTTCTCCCCTGAATCTTCTCTATGTTTTCTCCAAAATCATATGTTCTCTGAAAACCTTCCTAATCTCTTAGTATCTCTATATACAGTATGTCTATGTAGTAACAATATACATGTTGGAAGAAATCTGTCAGTATATCCTAAACTTGAATCCAAATTTCCTTTAACAAAATGTTCCAGCCAAACCTTTCTTTCATACAAGGATGTCTGACTATCTAAAAAGAAGGAATAAGGTTTTTCAAGATGACTTCAACAGTGAGCTACAGTGAAGGAAAAGAAAGTCAGGAAAGAGATGAGCAGACCGAAATCTCATTACAGCACGGTTTAGGATTATCGTTCCTATTAGACCAGTGTGAAATCTGAGGCCGGGAAACATTTTAAAGCACTTTCTTACCGACTTACAAGCAATAATTATGCTCATTACAGCCCAGGCTGTTGCTTTTAGAGGGGGGGTTATCCTTTTTCAATAAAGTAACTATTATTGCCTTCCATGGAGAAAAGCAAAACAGAATAGGAGAGATATTTTGGGAGAGGCAAAAGTGTATAGTTAAAATTTCTTATCTCATATGGCTGAGTCTTTGGGTTGAACTAACCTACAGAGTAATTCGATTATTTACTTAATGAAGTGAAGTGACCTGCAATTGTCATAATTTTCTAGGAAAAATGTGACTTTGTGACTTGGTGCTGTTGAACATGATGATTTGTGATCTGGAATTAATGAAGAACTACCAAGCTGCTGAATTTATACTACACTGATTATTTCAAGAAACATTTTCAAGTGCCTACACTGTATTACTCACCATGGTAGGTGCCAAAAATATAAGAAGAATAGTAAGTACTATTAATTGAATATCCTTTGAGCCAAGTGCTTTTTACCTATATTATCAAATGTCATCTTTACCATGACACTTCATGGTAAGTGATACCACCCACAAGCTTTGTTTTATTTCCACTCTTTGAACTTTTCTACTTTCACATAGCTTGTGTGAAGATCTGGCGCAAATCCATAGCAATCTGACTCTAAATACTGTACCCTTTATATAGTTGCATCCACACTCTTTCTGGCTTATAGAAAATGTAAATGCTTATGATCACATAAGTTACATTTAGCAGGGAGGAGAAACAAGTAAACAGTGATAACGCAATGAAGGACATGGAATTGTGATGTGTGTATTTTAATGTTCCACTCACTATGTTTATATAATAGCCCATTTAATAATTCACAACTTGCACACCAGTTTTCTTTCTTGGCCATACCGCCAAGGCCACTTAGTATAATTTGTAAAAAGCTTGTGTTCAGGGAAGGTGTTTAACAAAGTAGCTATGTTCCATGTGTGAAGGATGGATGATCAGCTCATCTTTGATACATTCAGCTAACATAAATTTGAAGATTTAAAAATTTATGGCTCTCATTAAATATGTGGCAATGTTAGCATTTAAATTGTAAAGTTACATATATGTGAGCTATTATCTGTGAACCAAGAACTGAGAACAATTTGAAACCCAAACTTTACTTTGTAAGACTTCTAAATAAAAAATAGATATGTTTTAGTCATGCATTTATACTATATTAACATTCAGTTTTTATTCACTTTTTTAAATGTTTCATCTTTCCACTGGGAGAAATTGCAAAAATGAATTCAAAACAATAACACCTATGGAGCTCTTACGATGTGTAAAGCAGTTTTCTAAGTATTTTGCATATATTGCCTCATTTAATACAAAAAAACCTCTGAGGAAGCTAATATTTTTACTCTCAATTTACAGAGGAAGAAAGAGACTAAATGATTTGCCTAAGGTCACCCAGATGCTGAGTTGCAGAGCTACGATTCAAACCGAGGTCCTCTGGTGCCATGCTTCTGCCCTTAACCCTTGTCACCTCAATGCCTCTCCATGGGCCAGAGGTGAATACTGTATACAGAGTGCTGAGGGCTGTGCCACCACTCTTGAGTGACTTAGAATCTAATTGCCAAGAACACAAGAAAGAGAGCTACAACATACCACCATCTAAATTCATATGTGTTGTTAATTTTAAAGAAGAACCAATAACAGAAAGGGAAGATGTACCAATTAATTTTTATTGCCAGTATATACCATACAAGGAATGTATTTTGATCCATATGAATTGCCTGAGAGTTCAATGATAGTAGTAGTAGCATCCCCATTGTACACTCAAAGACTACCTTGTCCGAACCCATGCAGCAGATGATGAGTGGTGTTAAGCCATTGTACTCAAAGTGTGTTCTATGGACAAACAGCATCAGCAGCCCCAGACGTTTGTCAGAAGTGCTAATTCCCAGGCCCAACCCAGACCTGTTGGATTATAATCAGATATTTGGTTTAATTTGCGTTTCAATCCACTTTCTAGGTGGTTTTTATATGCACTTAAGTTTAAGAATCCCCCAGCTAATAGGTATGAGTTCTTCAATGTCTGTGAGATTTGTACAATGGCAACCCTCATTCTTGCCACTGTACCGTTATGTGATCTGGACTAGTTGAGAGAGTTCCCTGAAGGAAATAAAGATAAGAGCTCTTGTTTGAAGGATGCATGAAATATGGGTGAGTGGAAAGGATAGAGAGGCATGACAATAGGGGCTATTTACTGCACATGTCTCCCCTGGTGGTTGCCATCTTCATATTCTCCTTCTAGCTATAATTATTTCACCCACAATTCTTGTTTAGGCTTACTTATTGGACTAAGGGTGGGTACCTGATACAAAGGTGGGCCATCTGTAATCTTGTCAGTAATAGTGAAGAGACTTTGCATGAAGTGCTCTGCCAGTGATTAATACTGGTAATTAACTAAGCCAATTATTTTGGATTTGGACTATGGACTATGGAGGGAGAATTATCAGTGGGTAGCAAGAATAATGGAACAGACATATCACAATAGGCATATACAATATAAGAAGTCAAAGCAGCAAGCTTTTCACTAGATATTTTTTTTTAAAGACACATTTTTCATTTTTTTTAAGATTTTATTTATTTATTTTTAGAGATGGAAGGGAAGGGGGAGAGAAAGAGAGAGAGAGAGAGACAGAGAGAGACAGAGAGAGAGAGAGAGACATCAATGTGCGGTTGCTGGGGGTTATGGCCTGCAACCCAGGAATGTACCCTGGCTGGGAATCAAACCTGGGACACTTTGGTTCCCAGCCCGTGCTCAATCCACTGAGCTACGCCAGCCAGGGCCCTTCACTAGATATTTTTACCCAACTTTTTTTCTTTGCTACTTTTTTCTATTTACGAGTATTTTTAAACTTCTCTAGGTACCCTACGTAAGTATAATCTCAGACTATAATAATTTAGGTAACATAAAGAAAAGTCAAGGAAGTGAAGGAGCAAGGCATTTGGAGAGAAGAGCTATGAAGCCCAATCTGAATGACAGAGGTCTTTTGTCAGGAAGGACAGGAGACGGGGCTAGTGAGAGGTCCAAAAGAGTGAAAAAAGGTTTTAGGCTAGTAAGTTACGTCCATACTTCCCCTCCTTAAATTCTATTGTTTTTTTTTGTAATTTTCATCTATTGCAATGCAGCAACAGTACCAAGCCATGAATATTAAATTTTTATGGTGCCAACTTCTTTCTAGAAAATTACTTATCACTAGTAGCAAAGACACTTCCTCCTATGATGATGCAAAATTGTCCTGAGAAATTCAATCTCTTGCTGCTCCAGTTGTTCAGAGATGCCAAGAAGTTGCTCCTCTGGGCTCATAGTGCAGCCCTGCCCTGGGCCTGTCTCAACCCATTCTCTTCTTTGCCACATTCCTACTGTACTTTCTCCCCTCACCCTGTAAAAATTTTCAAAAAGATAGAAATCATTTATGCTGAGGTATCTCAACATGTTAATAATGATATTTATAGTAAATGTAACCTTTTTTCTTTTTTTTATTTTAATCATTGTTCAAGTACAGTTTTCTCCCTTTTACTCCCATTCCAGCCCACCCACCCAACACTCCCTACTTCCCTCCCATTACCACCCTCCCCTTAGTTTTTGTCCATGTGTCCTTTAAATTTGTTCCTGTAAACCCTTCCCATTCTCCCCTGAAATTCCCTCTTCTCCCCCCTCTGGTCACTGTCAGCCTGTCCTCTATTTCAGTGTCTTTGGATATATTTTGCTTGTTTCTTTGTTTTGTTGATTAGGTTCCTGTTAAAGGTGACATCATATGGTATTTGTCTTTCACTGCCTGGCTTATTTCGCTTAGCATGATGCTTTCCAGCTCCATCCAAGCTGTTGCAAAGGGTAGGAGCTCCGTCTTTCTTTCTGCTGCATAGAATTCCATTGTGTAAATGTACCATAGTTTTTTGTTCCATTCATTTACTGATGGGCATCTAGGTTGCTCCTAGCACTTAGCTATTGTAAATTGTGCTGCTATGAACATCGAGGTGCAAATAAATGTAAACTTTACAAGGTTGTTTAGAGGATATAAGGAGGCTGTGTGCATAAACACAACTCAAATTGATTAGGCCTAGATTTTAATGGTTGTGATAATATTATTTTTATTCACGGCTCCATTGGGTTTAAAGATTTTAAGTTGTACTGGATTTGGATAGCTAGTAAAAGAGTTTGGAGTTTACCCTCTAGTATCCTTAGTGACAGGATAAAATCTTACTTTTAGCAATAATTAATCTAGTCACGCTAGTGGGACTGGAGAGGGAAAATTGCCAGGATTGGAGGGTTAATTTGGGAATTTACCACCATTTCATACTCAGGTACTTGGCACAAAGGCTGAGTAGTGGCCATGAAAATGGAGAGGAAGAGATAGATAGAAGACAGCTAGGCTGTTAAAACTCTTAGTTCTTTAAAAAAATTTTTTTTCTCACTGCTTTTAGACAGAATGGAAAAAAGAGAGAAAAACATTGATTGGTTGTCTCCTGTACATGCCTGACAAACAGGATGGAACCCATGACCTATATATGTGCCCTGATCAGGGATCTAACTGCGACCTTTTGGTTTCAGAACAATGCTCCACACAACAAGCCACACTGGCCAGGGCAGACCCTTAGTTCTTGGTGACTGCTGGCCTGGCAACAGAGAAAAAAAGTCAGAAGTGACTATGGGTTCAGAACCTGCATCCTTAGGAAAAATGAATTACTCTCATTTTACCTTCGTGTATAAGCTGCACTGAGAGTTTGCTTTTGAATGGGTAATCTATATGATTTTTAAAACATTCTTTGTTATTTTCTGTGCATACTTTTGGATATTTGGATACTTTTGTTACAGCATAGGCCTTGTTTTTAACTATCTGGATCCAAATCATATCTTCAGGATGAGGTCTTAATGTGGTCCTAAGATATGAGGTCTTATTTTGTCCTACAGGTCTAGTTAAAGCAGTGACCCCTTTGAATTAAGATTGTCCATGAAGGAATTGGGAAGAAGAATAAACTAGATCATCCCATCTCCTATCCTATGCTTTTTAGTTTTTCATGCCTACTACTCTCTTCCATCTTAGCCATTGACATTAGTGTTTTATTTGCTCCAAAGCAAATCATACGATGCGTAGCTACAGAGCTAGGATTATAGAGTGGACTTCAAACAAACTTAAGCAAAGATCCCAAGAAAAGAATTATTTATGTTTTTGTAACCACCACACTTGTACACACATGTGGTGTGTGTGTGTGTGTGTGTGTGTGTGTGTGAGAGAGAGAGAGAGAGAGAGAGAGAGAGAAACCATAGTTGATTCAACATAAATACTTGGGCTAGCATTCCTAAATTGATTTTAAAACTTATCTATATTTTCTATAAAGATTTTCTATAAAGATACTGGACTACTTTCATCTGCTTTATGCTTTTCTCTAGGGAAGGATGG